GACCTGGTGGAAGAGTGATTAAGGCAAAGGAACAGTAAGCACCAAGGAGACTTGAGTGACCTTGGCTTGTTTGAGGAAGAGCATGATGGGAATGTCATCTGTGAAAGGGAGAACACTAGAGTTGACATGAGGGAATGGGAGAGGAAACTAAAGTGGGTCAAAAAAAGGAATGCAGGGCAAGTTTGAGAGTTCAGCTGATACTACAAATCAGGACTGGTTCCAACGCTTAAGGTTGGCATGACTTTTTCAATACTGCTTAGTAGCAATAGAAATAGAGAAGGCAGATGGTTAGAATGATACATGGTTGGAGATTTCAGAACATGTATAGCAAAAAGACAGTGGGGTGAAGGAGTAGAATTTTCTGGGGGTAGAGAGTTTGTAGTATTTAACTCTAAGGGCTAAGCTGGATAAGAAAAGTTGGGGACGAGGTGAGTATGACAAACAGGAAGAAAACAGGGCTGAGGCATTGGAAATCCTACAGGGTTAACAGAGCCTATGTGATAGAAACAGGCAGAGAGAAAGGTAGGAGGACAAAGGGTTTCACTCTGCAAGTCTGTAGTGGGGCGCAAGACAGCATTGTTCAAGCAGCTTTGGGTGATATCGTGGTTTCTTGTGGTAAAATGGAGGTGATGGTTGAGGAGGTGATCAAGGAAGTGTGGTATGAAATAGGGTGTTAGGATTTCATCAAATTAAAAACTTTTGAACTTTGAAGGATATCGTCAAGAATATGAAAAGACAACCCACAGAATGGGAGAAAATATTTGCAAGTTATTTATGTGATAAGGAACTTGTATCTAAAATGTTATATATAAAGAACTCTTACAACTCAATGATAAAGGGATAACTAACCCAACTAAAAACTAGGAAAAGCTCTGAATAGCTATTTTTCCAAAGATTATATACAAGCAGTCAACAAGCACATGAAAATATATTCAACATTATTAGCCATTAAGGAAATGCAAGTCAAAACCACCATGAGATACCATTTCACACCACCAGAATGGCTATAATCAAAGAATCAGATAATAAGTGTTGGCAAGGATGTGGAGAAATTGCAACTCTCATGCACTGCTGGTAAAAATGTAAAACTGTACAGCTGTTTTAGAAAATAGTTTGACAGTTCCTTAAAATGTTAAAATTAGAGTTACCATATGGCCCAGCAGTTTCTCTGCTAGGTATATACCCAAGAGAAATTAAAGCATATGTCAACACAAAAATTTATACACAAATGTTCATAGCAGCATTATTCAATAGCTAAAAGTGGAAACAACCCTAAATGTCCATCAACTGACAAATGTATAAGCAAAATGTGGTATTGTGTATTCATACAATATTATAACATGGATGACCCTTGAAAGCTTTATGCTAAGTGGACGAGGACAGTCACAAAAGACTACATTTTATATGATATATGATTCTATTTATACAGAATGTTCAGAATAAGCAAATCTATAGAGTCACAAATAGATTAGTGGTGTCTGAGAATAGATTAGGGGTTGGGGGTAATGGGGAGCAGCCAGCATTCTCTTAATGAAATTGAGCGGAAGAGAACAATAGAATAGAACCAAATATTTAGAATAGAATATATCTTTACATCTCAGGTGCCATTTTCTCAGGAAGTCTTCCTTAACTAGGTCTAATTTCCCTCTCTTGAAACCTGGCCTTTGTAGCACTAAGCACAGCTGAAAGTTTGCATTTATTTGTATGATGATTAGATGGATGTTGAGATTCCAGGATGTGGATATATCTATTGCATCTCTAGCACCTAGTGCAGTGCCTGGCACATAGCAGGCAATTTGTAAACATCTGTGGAAGGAAGGAAGGAAGGAAGGGAGGGAGGGAGGAAGGAAGGGAGGGAGGGAGGGAGGGAGGGAGGGAGGGAGGGAGGGGCTGGTAAATTGGGGGCAAAGTTATAGATAAAAAGAACAGAGTAACCTAGAGGGAAAGGAATAAAATAGGAGAAATGTAAGTGAGATCTCTAAAATAAATTTCTCTAAGACAGTGTTTTCAGACTGGGGGTGGGGGTCACAACACCATTAGTGAGTTTGTGAAAATGATACACTAAGTTGAGTCCAGCATTTTTTAAAAAGATTTTATCTATTTATTTTTAGAGAGAGGGGGAGGGAAGGAGAGAGGAAGAGAAACATCAATGTGTGGTTGCCTCTCACATGCCCCTGCTGGAGACCTGGCCCACAACCCAGGCATGTGCCCTGACTGGAAATGCAACCAGCAATCCTTTGGGTCACAGGACAGCACTAGCCAGGTGCTCACTCAATCCACTGAGCCACACCAGCCAGGGCAAGGCCAGCTGAAATGAAATGAATAGAATAGAAAACATCAGAGTGTATTGTACATACAAAGAGTAAAACTTTTCATGAAACTTTTGTTTCAATTATAGATGTATATGTGTATTATGTCAAGATTTTAATGTTTCGATTTAAACATTTAAGAGACACTCCTGTACCATACCCTGTGGTTCAAAGATTTGTGACTGTAGTTATTTTTTTCTGATGCATTGATTATTTTAATGGATTGAGAATCAGGCTGTGAATATAAGACCTTTGATAGTTTGTACTAGTAATAGCAAAGCCTTTTAAAAACTCAATCGTTAAGTATAAGTTCAGCATTAATTTCTCAAGTATAAATTGAACACTAATGGAATTTCTTAAGGACAAATAAGCATTAATTTGATCTCTTAAGAACAAATTGTGAACAAAATAAAGAAACAAAATAGAAACAGACTCATAGATAATAGAGAACAGATTGACAGCTGCCAGAGGGGAGGGAGCTTGGGAGCTAGGTGAAGAGATTAAGCAAAAAAAGGAAAAAAAAACTCATAGACACAGACAACAGTGTGGTGATTACCAGGGGGAAAGGGGGTGGGGACAAATAGAAGAGGGTAAAGGAGGGATAGATGGTAATGGAAGGAGACTTGACTTGGGGTGGTGAACACACTATACGGCATACAGATGAAGTGTAGAATTGCACATCTGAAACCTATATGATTTTATTAACCAATGTCACCCTCAATAAATTCAATAAAATTTTTATTTTTTTATTATTTTAAAAATATTTATTTATTTTTAGAGAGAGGGAAGGGAAGGAGAAAGAGAGGGACAGAAATATCAATGTGTGGTTGCCTTTTGCATACCCCCTACTGGGGACCTGGTCCACAACCCAGGCATGTGCCCTGACTGGGAATCAAACTGGCGAGCCTTTGGTTTGCAGCCCACGCTCAATCCACTGAGCCACACCAGCCAGGGCTCAATAAAATTTTTTAAAAGAACAAATTAAACAATGATGCAGTCTGTATTAAAATGTTTTTCAGTCTCTAACATATATCAGCTCTTATGATTATTCATAATCATTTATGACTAAGAAACCCAAGAAGCCAATATTTGTAACAGTTACATGGCAAAATGCACGTCCTTAATTGATTTTACAAGTTATTTCAAAACAGTTTAATCTTCAGATTTCTTTCTGCGTGTGCAACACATCCAGTGCACCTAACAACCTGTCATTTGGGGACTGTGTGCTGTGGGCCTCTGGAGCCAGTCAGGTCTACAAGGGATCCTGGCATTGTCACTTACTAGCTGTGCAACATTTGACAAATTGCTATATTGGGGTCTTGACTTTCTTGTTTGTAAAACACAGAAAAAATATTAGGTGGAACGTTATGACATTGCCATTTGTAGAGGTCAAAAATGGTCAAATAGCAGCAATTTCATATGGTTCAAACTAATGATTACCTTACAGGGTGGTTGTGAGGATCAAGCCAGATAATACTTAATACCTGACACAGTACTTATTAAACATTAGTATTCCCTTTGATGAAGGTGAAAAATATTAGTGACAATGTTTAATTATCTCTTTTAAATTGGCAGCATATACACTGGTCCTTCACACATTATATACTTATTTAATTTGTGTCTTGCCTAGTTCCAGAAAGGATTTAAGTAGACTGTTTTACACATGGTTAGCACTAAATAACTATTTGGATACTAGTGAATTAATGCTTCTCTTTAGTTTTGGTTCCTTGGTCATTTATGAGCCATCATTTAATACTTTATTAGACTTTGATGAAACACTGGAGAGCCCAATTTAGACTGATCTTTTCCAAGAGGATTTGTAACAAAGTCTTCTTTTGTACTTCTGTGACAGGTGGTTCTTTCCTAAGAGCTGGCCCCATGCAGTGGTATCTGGTGACTCTCTAACAATGGGCTCTCTGGAAGTGATGGTGTGTGCTGGCTGTGGACCTGCCCTGCAGCATTTGCCAATTTCCGTGGTGTGAATAATTCTATCACTGCTGATTTCAGGCTCCCAAGTTGACATCACCGAATGCAGAGTTGGGTAGATGTGAGTGCAGGGAGCTCTTCTGCACTAGAAGCAGCTGGCTCCACGCCACTGGCCCCATGACAGATGAAACCCTACCTGAGGGCAGTGCTCTATACATTCGAACTGATAGTGTTCAGAGGGTATTTGATTTATATTTGTGCTGCTAGTAAAGTATTTTCACAATTACTGAACATTTTTGAAAAACACAACTAAACAGAATAACTGTGAAAAGGGAACAAAAACAATAATTACAATATTTATCACTATCCTAGATCTGTATGACACCTTCTCATTAAATTGCTTTCTTGATGAGACAACCTGCAAGGTTTTGCTCTTCTTTTCCCCTTTTGTCAGCCTATTATTTTAATAACTAAAATACTAAGTAAGCATTCCCAAGGAAAAACTACTGTGTAATTTTATTTATTGACTCTCTTCATGATCTTACTGACTCAGATGTTGGGAAACTCCTTTTTGACGGGATTGTAAAATCAAAGATCAAAAGTTGTTTTGTAAATGTGAAAGAATGTGAATCACAAAGGGGGGAATTGCTAAGAATATGGATCCTGTTATTGATGACATTTTTTTTTAACCCTCTCCTGAGAATATGTTTTTCCCATTGCTTTTAGAGGGAGAGGAAGGGAGAGAGGAAGGGAGGGAGAGAAGAGAGAAGCATCAATTGGTTGCCACCTAGGATGGAACCCGCAACCTAGGTATGTGCCCTGACCAGGAGCTGATCCCACAGCCTTTCGGTTATGGGATGACACTCCAACTGACTGAGCCACCCCAGCCAGTGTCATGATGTATTTTAAAAATTTCAAAATGCTTCTGCAAATAAAATATTTTTACTTCACCTCAGGGGTACTAAATGGGAGGTGGTATTGGGGTGGCAGATTTTAGAAGCCCATGGTATTTTTTTTGGTTGTCACAATAATTGGGGGGCATTACTAACATTTAAACGGTGGGTTAAGCCCAGTGATACTAAAATTGCAAATTGTCCCATATTCCACGTATCCTTCTAATGTCCTGCTGAACCTTCACGTAGGTGAAAATAAGCACCTAATTTTCCAGGAATGCAAATTGAAGGATGCTTGCACTTAACTATGCTTAGAACTTTCCAGGAGTTGTTTCCCATGTTGGGAAGTCATTACAAACCATCAGTACAGATTAAGTAATTTGTTGCCACTAAAGCATATCTGTGTTGGTCTGTGTCTTGAGCTGTCACTCACGGTGACGCTATGATTAGTATAAGCATCTGCCTACTTTATGTTGTCTGCTAGCATTGCCGAGCTTGAGGGTTTACATTTGGAGGTGCATGTTGTTTTATTATTAATTAGTTTCCTTTTATTTTCCCTTTCAACTTAGTCATTGCATAAATTTTTTTACAGTGATGTGTAGGATTATGTGGTATCACCTACAAATTTCTTTACAGGTTATTACAGGAGGACTAGTGAATATATATTATAAAAAGGATTGTTGGGTTTGAGACCATTGATCTAAATAACTATCCTTAGCATAATATGACAATACCATTTCTGTTTCCAAGGCCCACAGCATATCTGCGTATCATGTGACATCAGAGAGTGACATATCATATTCCCTTGGCTTCAAGACTGTTAAAAGATCATTCATTTCTGCTCCAGTCACTATAATTTGTGGTCTAAAATAATAATTGTATCCATCTTCTTGATCAGTGCTTCCAGTTTTGTCATTTGTTCCTCAGAACATTTTGTGCCTTCCTGGAAAAAGGACATACTCAAAAAGTCCGGTGGATCAAATATTTAAGGCCACTATAAAATGAAGTGAACCCAAATCCTTGAGTTTAGAATTTTTCCCTGAGAAATTTGGAGGCAAGCATTAATAAAAACATCTATTTTGTCTCATGCCATGCATATTGGCAATAAACACCCTGGTAAGAAAATAAGCAGTTGGTGCTATGTACATAGTAACAAGAAATAAACATATACTTTGAGCTGGATTCAAATATGAACCTACAGATCATGTTGTCAACACAGTGAAGGAGGAAAAAAAAACGCATCAGCGAATAAACCTGTAATGAATATGCAGGGTTAACCTTTGGCCAGATTGCAAAGTACCTGGCTTTGTTTTCAGCACTTCCATCTTCTTTCTGCAGTGCCCTCTTCTTCCCTCGGCACCTCCCACAACCACAAGCCTGAGGCTCTCAGTCAACGTGGAATTCACAAGCATTTTTGAGCTACTTCTACTGTAATGCCAAGCAACGTGGTAGGAATGATGAAATCTTTTTCTGACTTGAAGAAGTCTCCCTGTCAAGAGGAAAGGAGTCTGACTAACCTTTTTTTTTTTCTTACTAACTCAAGGACTCTTTTAAATGTAGATGGGCTCTTTTTAGAGGTCAGGATAGTGGTTAACTTGAACAAGGGGGAGTGACTGGGAAGGGGCACTAGACTTCTGGGGAGCTGGTAATGTTGTATTTGTTTCTTTTATTGTGGTAAAAAATATATGTCAGAAAATTAACCACCTTAACCATTTCTAAGTGTGCAGTTCAGTAGTGTTAAGTATATTCACACTGTCAAACATCTCCAGAACTTTTTCATCTCATGAAACTAAAACTGTACCCATTAAACACCAACTCCCTACTCTCCCTTCTTCCAGCCCCTAGGAACCACCATTCTACTTCCTGTGTCTACAAATTTGTCTAGTTCAGATACCCTAATGTTATATTTTTTCTTGTGGGTGCTGGTTACATGGGTATGTGCACATTGGGAAAATTCACCTAGCTGTGCACTTATTAATTGGGCACACTTCTATATGCATATTGTACTTCCAAAAAACAGTGTACCTTAAAAAAGTACATAAAGATAAAATTTTAAATTCATTACTGCCATTTCAACTAAGGTATTAGTAACTCACGATGTTAATGCTTCCCTGGGGTGTGTTAAAAGTTCCAGTTAGAGAAGGCAGTGCTTAACTCCAAGGAGTACTTGCTGGGGGCAGAACCTCCAAAGAGATGGCTTCAGACAGGCCCTCTTCAAATCTCACCAGATAACACAGCTCTGAGCCCCTTTATAGAGAATTCTGGTGCTGACCATCACAATCCCAAATCACTAAAACATGACACCCCAAATGAAAGCAGAAGGTGAAGAAAAAAATTGTCCTTAAAGAGGTGAATGGAATTGGGAGGAGAGCCTATTGAAATAGAATTTTAGCCCTGGCTGATATCACTCAGTGGATTGAATGCTGGCCTGTGAACCAAAGGGTCACAGGTTCAGTTCTCAGTCAGGGCACATGCCTGGGTTATGGACCAGGTCCTTAGGGAGCACATGAGAGGCATCCACACATTGATGTTTCTCTCCTTCTCTTTCTCCCTTCTTCTCTCTCTAAAAATAAATATACAATCTTAAAAAAATAAAATTTTAGAAAGAACAAAAGAAAGTTGGAAGAAGAGAATCATGCAGGGTTGTCAGATTTAGCAAAACAAAAATCAATTAATACAGGATACCCAATAAAATTTGAATTTCAGATAATCAAAAACTAAGTTTTTTTTATAGACTGAAAATACTATGAGTGATATTCAGTCTTTTTTTTAAAGATTTCATTTATTTATTTTTAGAGAGAGGGGAAGGGAGGGAGAAAGAGAGGGAAACATCAATGTGTGCTTGCCTTTTGTACGCCCCCCACTGGGGTCCTGGCTCGCAACCCAGGCATGTGCCCTGACTGGGAATCAAACCAGCAACCCTTTCCTTCATAGGCTGGCACACAGTCCACTGAGTCACACTAGCTGGGGCTCAACAAGTAAGTTTTTGAAGTGTGAATATGTTCCTAGTAGTACATGGGACATACTTTTGTTCTAAAAATATATTCATCATTTATCTGAAATTCAAATTTCACTGGACATCCTGTATTTTCCCTGCCAATCTGAGATGCAAAGGAAGAAGGAAGGAGATATATGGGCACTGGCACGCCCCCCCCCCCAGTTGAAAATCTACGTATAACTTTTGATTCCCTCGAAAAACTTAACTATTAATAGCCTACTGTTGACTTGAAGCCTTACAGATAACATAAAGAGTCAACACATACGGTATTTTGTATATTTATGTATTATATACTGTATTCTTAACAATAAAGTAAGCTAGAGAAAATAAAATGTTATTAAAATCATAAGGAAGAGAAAATAAATTTATTGCATGTACTGAAAAACACCGATGTAAAACTAGACCCACACACTTCAAACCCATACTGTTCAAGAGACAACTGTAGTCATAGGGAACATGAAAAATGTGTTTTCAATACAGGAAACTATCCCAAAGCCAAAGTCTCTGACAAGTACCTAGTATTGGATAACAGTCCCTTTCCTAAATGAGGGAAAGAACTTTCCACACTAGGAATCAGATTTTGCAATTAAGAAAGAATTAGGGGACTTTTCTTTAAAAAATTTCTTTTACTTATTTATCTTTAGAGAGAAGGGAAGGGAGGGAGAAAGAGAGGGAGAGAAACATCAATGTGTGGTTGCCTCTTGCATGCCCCCCACTGGGGACCTTGCCTGCAACCCAGGCATTTGCCCTGACTGGGAATCGAACTGGTGACCCTTTGGTTCACAGGCCAGCACTCAAGCCACTGAGCCACACCAACCAGGGCTAGTTAGGGGACTTTTCTTGAATATCTTGCTAGAGGTTCAGAGTTTAAACCAAATCCTAACCCATTCACTGTTTTCCAGAGAGCTGGCCGACAAAAACTGCCTAGGATAGTGGTGTGTGAGCTAGAGACAGGAAGACAAAAGACTTCTCATTGAAAGGCTTAGTACCTAGTAGTAGCTTGTCTCATCAGTTTTCATCTGAAGAAATCCTTGGTGTGTATTACTAGGGATTGCCATTAAAAGTAGTACATTAGCACTGGTGGGGAAAATAAATTCCTAAACGCTCTGCCCTACTTATTCATCAAAGCAAAAGCATGTGAAATTTACTCAAGGTGAATGAGGGCAGTTACTCTGGGAGAGTTGGTCTTACCATACAATTTCTGATTCTCTTTGAAGCCCTGTAGTTAAACCCTTCTCATTCTGAGTCAGCAGAAGGGATCATCAGGCTAGATCAGTGAAAGTCCTGAAACTCATTGTTTAAAAGAAATAATTTTTAAAATTGCAAGTATATAATGATGGTTAAATAATTAATAAAATTACTCTTGAGGGGTGTCCAACCTGTGGCTCATGGGCTGCATGCAACCCAGGATGGCTTTAAATGTGGCCCAACACAAAATCATAAATTTACTTAAAACATGATGAGATTTTTTGTGTGTGATTACATGTCGCAATGTATTAAATGTGAGGCCCAAGACAACTCTTTTTCTTCCAGTGTGGCCCAGAGATGCCAAAAGGTTGGGCACCCCTGCAAGACTGAGGTTCTCCAAGGCCTGTTTTATTTTATTTTAAATATATTTATTTATTTTTAGAGTGAGGGGAAGGGAGGGAGAGAAACATTGATGTAAGAGAGAAACATCCATCACCTCTCATATGTGCCCCAACCAGGGACCAAACCTGCCACCCAGGCATGTGCCCTGACTGGGAATGAACCAGCAACCTTTTGCCTTACTGGACAATGCCCAGCCACTGAGCCACACCAGTCAGGGCTACAAGGCCTATTTTAATGATTTTAAAATCAGAAGTATAGTTGCATGTGGTTAAAAGTAAATGTCTTTTCAACAGTTTGCCCCTAGGGATAGGTAAACTACATATATGTTCTATGATCTTCTTACACCATTAATTGCTTAGTAAGCTTTTCTTTCATTGAGTGAAATAAACTTTGATCTAGTTCAGGTTCCATTATTATAAAACCTTAAGACAACGAAGACTGAATTTATTATAGGGAAGCTGCATCTATGAGTGTTATCAACTGGATATGTAGAATCTTGATTGATACCTTTTATGGCCTTATGAAACTGTCAACAGCCCTGACCTGTATGTCCTTGGGTGTTTTCTCTAGATGTTCATACCTCAGCTACTCATCTACCAAATGAGGGGGTGGACCAGCTGACTTCTACCCTCTAAGCTCTAAACTTTCATGACTAGATTACATGAATGGTGTGTCCATCTCAGAGATAGATGACAGAGCAACTTACCTAGACCTTTTCTTGGTGGTGGTGTTTTTATTTTAATAAATCAAGGTAAGAAGAGTGTACAAAAAGTGTTTTTCAATTCCTTCTTGTCCTCTTAGAAATCTTTGGCCTTGCCAGGTAGCAAAGTTGATTAGACCAATGTTCTGGTACACCAAGGTTGGCGGTTCAATCCCTTGTTCAATACAAGAAGCAACCAATGAAGGCATGAATAAGTGGAGGAACAAATCAATGTTTTTCTCTCTCTCTCTTATCAATAAATTTTTAAAAATTAGAAATTTTTCTCTCATGAGTAAAATAATCAAGACTTGGAAAAAAACAGAATGTCCATAAAGCAGTAGTGTCTAGATGGGATCATGGGTTAAAGAAATGAAAGTTGGTTACTGCAAGGAGAGAAGATGCCATGAGAGAAAACATGCCTGTCTTTGCTTCCACAAAAATCCAGATCATGCTTGTTGGAAGCAAGAGATTCACTCCTACTTGGTACCCCAGTGATGCCAGAAGCAACATCTTCTGTTTGATTTCTATAACTTTCAGAAAAAGCATGTAAGGGCAGTTGTACCACAAGATGAGACTGGTCTGGAGGTAGCACTTCAGAATAAAACGTTCTCAGTCTTAAGAGTATTCATACCTTGCCCTGCCTGGTGTGGCCCAGTGGATTGAGTGCTGGCCTGCAAATCAGGGGGTCACTGGTTTGATTCCCAGTCAGGGCACATGCCTGGGCTTGGGCCAGGACCCTTGTGGGGGGTATGCAAGAGGCAACCACACATTGATGTTTCTCTCCCTCTCTTTCTCCCTCCCTTCCCTCTTTCTAAAATAAATAAATAAACTATTTTAAAAGCAAGAATATTTATACCAATTAAATCAAGTTTAAGATGCAAATTATTTGTATCATGAAACCCTTTTTGTTTCGTCATTGCTAAATGAGTGCCCTTCTAAGAGACTTTATTTATTTATTTATTTATTTATTTATTTATTTATTTGAGAGAGCTGAAGGGAAGGAGAAAGAGAGGGGGGAAATCATCAATCAGTTGCCTCTTGCACACCCCCAATGTGGGACCTGGCCCATGACTCAGGCATGTAACCTGATTGGGATTCAAACTAGCAACCTTTCTGTTCACAGGCCAGTGCTCAATCCACTGAACCACACAAGCCAGTGG